GAAAAAAGTTGAGTTACAGGCTGGTAGGATTGTATAACAAATATCTGTGGCATTATAATATTACATTTGATTAATTATATATCCTGTCCTGTCCAATCCATTATGAACACCGACTACAGCGAAATCCACTGATGCATCCATGCTGCTCAGTACCAGAAATGAACTGATCTCAGTTACCAAAAGAACCAATCAGCTGGCAAAGATGCTATTAAATGTGTGAGCGTGCAGAACTTGCAAAACTACGTGACTCAGTTTGAGGAACAAAGTAGAATCCAGCTGCTGTTATTTGTTGGTGTTAATAGAAACTAAATATATCTGCAGGGCTTTAGGCCCAGGGCAGAGTTTTATACCTCAGACCGACTAGATCATGCCCTGTTAGTAACACTGTAATATCATGCATGATGTTATTGTTTTTTACACTAATCAAAAAATATGTAATGTTCACAGACATCCAAACCTTAGAAATAAAATAAAATAAATAAAAAAATTAAAAATGAATATTATTTTGTCCAAAATATCTTTGAAGACTTTTAATATTTGATGTTGTCCAGCTTAAGTAAACATCTACTTATTTCACAGAGCTGAGCTGTGGGAGAAAATATTCAGACTTTTAAAATCTTGTTTTCTATCACACGCTGTGGGTTTCGTGTATTTATTAACTTACTATCAATTATTAAATTGTAAGTAACATGCCACTACAGTGTAAGCATAGAAAGTGTATAAGAACTAAAGAAGCAGCTCACCTGGTCCTTCCACACTGAGAAGAAATCCTCTCATCAGCAAATCAAATCAAATCAAATCAACTTTATTTATATAGCACTTTTCATACAAAAAAAATGCAACTCAAAGTGCTTTACAGCAGCAGGTGATCAACAGAAACGTGACTGAACACCGGCCCAAAAAAAACAAAAAGAAAACTAAACACACCGACCAGATCAGCCCACCGGGAATTTCCCCAGTCTGGTCCTGGTTACCTTCACCGTACCCGTTAGACAGGAGCTGCTCATCATGTTAAATCTCATTGTGACGCGAGAGCAAAGGCTCCGCTGGTGCTTAATAATGCAACTTTATTCTTCAAAGTATTCATAAATAAACACACCTTGGCAGTGGCGGCTCCAGAAATGTTTTCCTGCAGGTGCTATGAAGGAGCTACAGTTGTGGTCAGAAGTTTACATACACTTGTAAAAAATATAATATAATGGCTCTACTGAGTGTCCCGTTATTTCTAAAACTCTGATTTTTCTCTGATAGAGTGACTGGATCAGATACTTCTTTGTCACAAAAAACATTCATGAAGTTCGGTTCTTTAATGTCTTTATTATGGGTTAACAGAGAAAAGTGATCACATTTGCTGGGTCTTTGATTTAATAAAAGAAGAGAATCTCTTCATCTTCTGTCTTCATTGCTGGAAAGTAAACAGTTTAGAAGTGAATGCATGACCTTGAGGCTGTTTCATGCACTCTGGTGCTGTGTCAAAGGAACTGTGGAAAAGGTTAAATAACCTTGGAGGAATAGCTCCTTCATCACGTTACAACTTGCATTCATTTTTTCGTTCTTCCATGAGCCAACCGGAAGGGGAGGAGTTTTAGTCTCCCTATACGATCCCTGTATAATCCACGCGCAAACGCACACACAAGAAAAAGAAACTCTTTTTACATCCAAATCAACAACATCCAGTCTGCTCTCACACAAGGTGCTATGTGTTTTAAACCTGCAGACGACAATCAGACTTTAATGTTTCGTCCTCGGATTTAGGCACCAGTGAAGCAAGAGGATTTCACAGATTTGTGGATGAAGGAATAAAGATGCTGATGTGATCTGTGCACGACTCACACTAAGACATCCTGCTTCACTAACTGTGTTTACCTTTAGGTTCCAACTCGACAGACTCACAACAGCAGGCGGAAACCAACTTTCTGCACCAGATCAGAGCAGAACAATGCTTTTGTTAATCCCAGTGTGGACTGGTATTCTACCTATCTGCTGCCAGCACTTGTTCTGAGCTCACACACATGAACGGTTGGACGTGGCTGCCTGCTAGAATGTGTTTGTTGTTTAAGTGAATAAACATGTATACATGTTTGGTCACTGTCACATGTTTCCTGTGCTTTAACTGAGGGTAAGAAATGCTCTAGTGGCCTTGGTGCATTTCCAAGGCCCCCACAGTGTGTTTGGTTTGTGCTAGGGTCATCTATCCAACACAAGCTCCGTGTTGGTGGGGGTTCATCTCTCACCCCTGCTGAGACTCAATCTGGAGGCTGGGAGAACTCTCCATTTTGCCTGCAGCATCCTGCAGCCCTTTGGATATTAACTAACGGCATTTTTCAGCACTTTTCTGACACTGTTCAAGAAAACTGGGATGTATTTTTAAATTCTGACAAACCTCAGTTAACCCCTGAAAGCACCCCAATGGGTTCACGTGTTTACGTTGTTTAAATAGCTCTCAGTGAGTTCACCAGCCGATTTTCATTCCAACCCTCACTCATTCACTGAATGAAAGAACAAGATCATGAATTCAAGCGATCTAAATGGGTTCCCTCTCTAGGGTGACCTGGCTCAGGTGAAGAGCCAGAGATCTGGGAGAGACTCAGGTTGAGCTGCTGCTCCTACATGTCAAGAGGAGCCAGTGGAGGTGGGTTTCAGGTATGTCCTGGCAGAAGGAGACCCCAGGTGGACCCAGGACACACCGGAGGGATTATATCTCTGCATTGGTCAAAGAATGCCTCAGGATCTCACCAATGGATCTACAGGAAGTTTCGAGTGAGAGGATGGTTTAAACGACGCTGGAGCTGCTAACCCCACAACCTGGACCCTGAGCAGGTGAAAACGAACCCAACATAATGTTGAGTGGTAAACGGCTTATAGTTATGCAGCATCTTCTAGGGTTCTAGGTTCTAAAGCCACACAATTTGTGGAATGATCTGCATACCATCTGAAAATTATCCTTCCACTCAGGATCGGATAACCCTCACAAGAGAACTTTCGGCTCCTTACCTGCATCCAACACCAACCAGTAACCTTTGGTGGTGAGCGAGCCGGAGCATTTGCAGCAGATGTTTTGCTAGCACACCCCACGTAAGAGTTGAACTGTACTGCCACATCTTCAGCCGTTGCGCATCTTCTGCCTTTGCGCACTATATATATCACTCCCGCCAGTGTTTGTTTACTATTTTTGTGATGCTACGAATCAACCAGAAGAACACAGAAAGGAGAGGGCGCATGCCGTAACCTACCGGAGTGGAGGGGAATGCACGATTAAATAGTGTGGTTTTCTAATGTACATGTGAACTAAATGGTAAATGGCCTGTATTTGATAATAGCGCCTTCTAGAGTCCTGGAACCCCCAAGGCACTTAACAACACAGTTATTCACCCATTCACACACACACACATGCTGGTGGGGATGAGCTATGTTGTAGCCACAGCTGCCCTGGGGCGCACTGACAGAGGCGAGGCTACCGAGCGCTGGCGCCACCGGTGCCTGCTATGTGTGTTTCTCAGAGAGGTGGGTAAACAAAAGCAAGAAAAGCTAACAGCTCCGTAGTGGACGGCTACTTGCTGCAGGATAATTAGCACTGTGGAGGATGTCGGTCAGAGAAGCCATAATGTTTCCCTGTGGTACATTAGACACACACACACACACACACACACACACACACACACACACACACACACACACACACACACACACACACACACACACACACACACACACACACACATTGTGTAAGCATCTTCAGTGCCCTTTTTTCAAATGTTTAGAACATTGAAGTAAATAATTTCTGTATAATAATTCTGGATGGTATTTGCCATTGCCTTGGATTGTTGCAATAATGAACTAACATTCTTATAAAGGAAGTAAATGTGTCTGCTCCCATACTTATAAGAGAATTAGAAATATGTCAACTAATACTGCTACATTTATAATCTGTCGTTAACTTGTGATTAATCGTGATTAAAACCCTCTGACAGCAGAAACACTTTAATGGATCACACAAAACAGTCAGATACATACGACCCTGAGGGGGGTTATGAGTCAGGGGATAATTTTGTGTCTTAGCTCTCCACCTCCCAAAGGCTCTCCTCTATCCTTCTCCTCCTCCCATCTGCCCTGCCACCTCCCTCACAGCTGTGTAATTCATGTGGCATTGAAATGATTGTTCAAACACAGTGTGGGAGAACCATGTTAGGAGACAGCTGTGGCGTCAAACACCCTGAGCTTGACGTGGAAAAGCCTTTATCCTGTCAGCAGGCACTCAGAAGTGGCAGATTTTCACGACCCACGGGCTCCATCATGTCTTATATAACAGAGACGAGCCACAGAGCTTGTACGGGTAGGAACCAACTCTGCTGCATCTGAAGCATCTTCAGTTACCTTTAGGTTTTAACACGCAGCCACAGCTGGCTCAAGGTACATGTAAATGTCATTGGCAGGTGCAAGGGACACCAGCAGTGACAGGTGTATCCTTCCGCCTCAAAGGACTTACTCTTTTGAACCCCATAAAAGAAAGAGTGTTTATATTTCAGTCAGACAATCATAATTATGCAACACGCAGTACTGATGACGATAGTTTTTAAAAATAGTCTGATTTAATCTGCAACCTTTGTATGCAGGGATATTCATAACATTTTGAGAAGAATCGGGTGACATGAAAGAAAAATGCCCAGAAATGTAATTTGTTTACCAAAGATGTATACTATTTTGTTTCTAATTACGTCTGAGAGATCACGTTTAGTTAAAAATCTTTCACAGTGTATTTGAAGCCAAATTTGCTGGGGAAAAAGTAGTCCCAAACACTCGGAGGGCGAAAGACTACCGTAAATAGAAACCCCCAGTTGACTGACAGGAATCTAGTCCAATCAGAACTATCGTTTGGGGGGCGCTGCTGATGACGTAGTAACAACTGACCAATGGGAACACGTTTCTGGGAGTCGACCTCTGTGGGCCGCAGTACCACCTCCTGGATGTCCGTGGCGGAGGACTACTATATAAAAACAAACCAACACAAGTTTTAAAGGGCAGAGTTGTAAAACTCCCAGGCTGTGGGGAGTGAGCTCGCTAGGCTGCTGATCACATTCTCCGTTCCCCACGGACATAAACACGCCTGGATTTCAGACATATCTTCAGCTCCTTGTTTTTAAATCTCTTTTTATAGAAATTCCTACAAGTCCGAACGAGTTAAATAGCTCCTGAAGCAAGAAAAAGGGCCTGCTGCTGTGAATTCCCATGTAAGTATGTAAATAAAACAACAGGACAGCCGTTATAGTATCTTTCCATGAGTTAAAAACCGAGCGGTCCGTGCACTGTTCTGTTCACTCGTCATTTTTAGGATGTGTTGCTCAAAACGACGTTTTTGTCGAACAAGTAGTGGCTATTTAAAATGCTACGTAGCTTCCCATCGACTGGGTGGCTGACTTTTGATGTTAAAGCCATTTGGTTTTGATTCGGACGCTAATACTTTAATAAAACTGCTCTTCTTTCGCGTCGCTTCATGTCCTGGTAAAAAATGACCGAGCTAAACATTAGCTCGGCTAGGCGGCTAGCATGCTAATCTTAGCTCACACCCTCTAATAAGTTAGCAGGCTAACGTTAGCAGGAAGAGCCGAGCAGCTCCGTCTTTTCCTTCAATGATGTTATTTGACTTCAGGATGGTGGTTGGGTTCTGAATGCCGATTGTGTAATTGTCGCGAGTAAGGACGTGATCCCGGTTCTGTAGCTCAGCGGCAGGAAAATACTGGAACATCCTGATCGGTCGTTAAAGGGGGCTGTCTCAACATGTCTGTGTGCCACAGGAGGCAATCCCATCCATGACTGTTGACAACTGCCTTCACATCCCCTCTGCTTGCAGAGGTCAGCTATGAGAGTCACACACACACACACACACACACACACACACACACACACACACACACACACACACACACACACACACACACACTGCTGACACGTCTCTGAGTCAGTGGCCTGTGTATTTATAGCTGTTGATTATTGTACATCCAGCTGTAGCCTCTCTGCCCAGCAGCTCTACGATCACACCGCTCCACGAACAAATCCAGATCTAATGTGTGTGTCACCTTTTGGCCTTTCTCCCTTTTCCTAAAGAAAACTCATTCTTTTCTTTTCAGAATCTTCCACCCGACTCTGCAGGACGGATATTGAATTTGTCAACAAGCACTCGGGAGTGTCCTCATCACTGCTGCCCTGGAGGCTTACAACGTTCAGAAGCAACTCGGACAGTAGAAGAAACATCCTGGTGACTGGAGCAGCTATGCAGCTTGAAATTCAAGTAGCTCTCAACTTTATTATTTCCTATTTATACAACAAACTCCCCAGGCGACGTGTGAATATCTTTGGCGAGGAGCTGGAAAGGCAGCTGAAGAAGAAATATGAGGGGCACTGGTATCCTGATAAGCCATACAAAGGGTCGGGCTTCAGGTGCATTCATGTAGGGGAGAAGGTGGATCCTGTGGTGGTGCAGGCGGCCAAAGAAAGTGGGCTGGACATCGAGGATGTCCGGAATAACCTCCCTCAGGACCTTAGCGTGTGGATTGACCCATTTGAAGTTTCTTACCAGATTGGGGAGAAGGGACCGGTGAAGGTGTTGTATGTGGATGACAACAACGAGAATGGGTCTGAGCTGGACAAAGAGATCAAGAACAGCTTTAACCCGGAGGCCCAGGTCTTCATGCCAATCAGCGACCCTGTCGGGGCCTCCTCAGAGTCCAGCTCTCCATCCCCTCCTTTTGGGCAGTCTGCTGCCGTGAGCCCATCGTTCATGCCTCGCTCCACTCAGCCCCTAACCTTCACAACCGCCACCTTCGCTGCCACCAAATTCGGTTCGACTAAGATGAAGAGCAGCAGCCGTGGAAACAACAGTAACGGCAGCAGTAGCAGCAAGGTGGCCCCCACCTCCCCGACCAGTAACCTTGGTCTGAATGTCAACACTCTACTGAAGCAAAAAGCCATGTCCAGCTCCATGCACTCGCTGTACGGGCTGGGCCAGCAGCAGCAGAAGGCCTCTGCTCTGTCCCCCAATGCCAAGGAGTTTGTGTTCCCAAGCCTGCAGGGCCAGTCCAGCCCTGGAGCCGTGTTCCCCGGGGAGGGCTCCCTGGGGCTGGGCCCACTGCAGTACAACAATGCCTTTGACATGTTTGCAGCCTACGGAAGCCTCAACGACAAGTCCCTGGTGGATGGTCTCAGCTTCAGCCTGAGCAACATGCAGTATTCTAACCAGCAATTCCAGCCAGTCATGGCTAACTAGGCTCATCGTCGGATGTGCTGCTCGTGAATGATGGTGGCTCAAAGAGAAGGAAAAACAAACACGCACACGTGGAACTGAGCTGAAGGACTTGGCCGTGTCATGGGTGAGGCGCATGTGCCCCCCCACCCCCTCAGTAAAAGCTTGTTGTACAAACGCATCCAGGCTCGGTTACTTCAGTTCAACATGCATCATTGTTTTACTTCTTCTTTTTTGCCAACCAAGCACAACGAATTTTCCTTTTTTACTTTGAGGAACTCCTCCAGAAGAAGAATAACGAGGATCACAAGCTTCAGAGTATTTCAGCGGTGGAAGGCGAGGCAGATTTTTATTGATAGGCACTACTAAGTGAGGTTACTTGGGTCTTTTTCTAATTGTATAATTTAATTTAGTACAGAGTTTGTAAGATATCAGAGTATATATTGTTTCTATGACATGGTGTTGCATTTCTATCTTTTTACTACTCCAGTGATCTGTGATGGCTGCAGCAGCTTTCCTTTGTTTCTTTTTTTTTTAAGAGAATTGTTAAAGAAATCCATCTCTGAAAATCCGATATTCTGGAGAAGATTGCGTACAGAGTATTCCTTTAGTGGTGGAATTCAAATGTAGGAAGATTTGCTTTTTTCCGAAAGATGAATTGTATTTTCTGTTAAGAGGCTAAAGATTTTGCTATACTATTGACTAAAGTAATCGTATGAATATTAATTTTGTACCTACATTGTGCAATACTTGATAAAGAAAACACGGTATAACAAAGTATTTTGAGTCAGTGTCTTACATGTCAGGAGGGACTGAAATAGTTTATATTAAGTTTGTATTAAATGCTTAAAATGATATGCTTGTCTTTATTTTTTTTAATTTCATATTTGCACCCTGGTCTTTTTAATAAAATAAACTACAGTTGAACATGGGCCTGTTTGACGTGAACTATTTTACTGAAGCTTGGTCAGACGTGGTGTAATATTCACCTAGCAGCAGTGGGCACGTGTCGGACGAGATCCGCCTTCCCAGATCAGCGGGTTTAAATCCCAGAGTTGGTTCCGTTTCGACGTAGATCTTAAAAGTTCAGCGTTTGAATCCGTTAGGAACGGTTTTCATTAGTCCTACAAAACCAAACGCAGACGTCTTGGAGCCAACTCCCCAGCTCCTTATCTCTGGTGTCTCAGAGGTCAAGCGGACAAACGGATCACGTTCCAACGCCGTCAGAGAAGCCAGCGGCTGCAGTTCCGTCCAAACTGTTGATTTACCGTTTCATTTTCTGAACCGCTCAGCTGACGCAAACCTAAGTGTCTGCCTAGACTTCAGCATGACATCACTACAGCGTCACGAATGCCCTGTGATCACAGCTTCCTGTTCTGTTCCTGCTTTATTTTAAAAGAATTTGAGTGATCAGCTGCAGTCCAGAGCTCGCTGTTACCTCACTCTCGTATGCCTTTGCAACTCTGCAAACCCACCAGAAAACTTAGACAGGAAGTCTGCTTCAAATTTAGACATTTGAAGCAGACTAAATATTTAGATTTAACTTTATACATTTAGATTATATATGTTTTTAACTATAAACATAGACTTTGTTGTGAGGCTAAACATGCTAAAACGAGAACACCCATCTGGCTTTACAGCAGTTTCATGTAAATACACTAAACCTTCAGTTTTCTGGTAGATTTAGAGTATGCATGGCCTTATGTTAAAGCGGATCCTTGCACATATATTTGAAGACTTTGATAGTTAATGCTGGTGCTGAAGTGCTGAGGAGCCTCTAGTCTCGAGTAAAAGCTCGACACATCTGCCCGTTCTGCTGCATTCTGAATGAATCTGCTGGTAAAGTGTTACAAGTCTTGCCGTTGGAGAGGAGAACAAGTCAGAACCCACTTGTTGGCACACAGAAGCTGATTTCCACATGAACACCTCAGCTCTCTGAGATAAACAGGTCCACAGATGGTCTGGTGTCGCACCGGCTGGGAGACTCCCAGGGTGTGGAGAGCTGCCTTGCTGTGACTCCATCTTGTCTGCTCCACGGACAGCGTGCTCCGTCCCTGACTCTGAGAGACACGGCCCATAAACTGGCTAATCCTGACTCCACGTAGTGCTCCAGGGGCCTTGGCATGCCGGATTTACCAACAACCAGCAACGCTGCACTCTCAATATGGTGGACGTGTGTTTGTTTCTGTGCCAGAGGGACTGTTGTTCAGTATGAAGTTTCATGCTGTGAAGACTAGTGATTCGTGATGGCTGTCATAGCTAATCAGCTAAGGGCGTTAGCATTGTATATAACAGTTACTGTGCTGAAAGTTGGTGTCGTAGTTGGGAGTCATTTACCACGTGCACCCTGAGTGATAACAGATTACATATCTGTTCCACATTTGACCAGATCAGACTGAGTCAGAAGAGAGTGTGAGGCCTCCAGCCTTCATCTAGACCAGGTATGTCCACAGTCCACCCTGAGGCCGTGCGCCCCTTACACTGGTTTTGTCCATTTATAAAAAGATTTCTCCAGAAGGCTGTTGGCATTATTCCACACTTTTTAACATGTTTATGGCAGACTTTACTAATGTGAGGCCTAGTTTTGACTGGTACAAATAAATAAATCACACTAAAATAAAGTTTGCATAAAAAAAATCACAGTTTTGCAATGACTTTTAACATTTGGTTTCACCCTAAAATGATTGGACACCCATGATCTAGGGCCTTCAAAGATGGCCGACATTTGATTTATGTAGCGGAATATAGTTGGTATATTCTCACACTTTATTAAGGTAAAGAGATTACTCTTACCTTAGAATCAGAAGAGGTTGTTTTTACCACAGGGAATTTTATTCAAACACTTTGTATTGACTTAGAGACAAGAAAAGAGAAATATGGGACGGAAACAATCACCAGGACTAACTCACTAATGATGGATGCAAATGGATGTGAGCTGAAGTGTTGGTGTGTGTGTGTCAGTTCAGAATCTCCATTCTGATGGAGGGTGAGTCTGAGTGTAAGGTGGTGTTTTGACTAACTAACCACAAGGGACTTCAGGAGCACAGACATGAGATGCCATCTGTGCCGGATCTACGTACCGTTTCGGAGACTCCCGTGTTAGATCAGGAATGCCAGGTCCCTCCTTTGGTGCTGGAACTGATAGCACAGCGTCTGCAGCACGACAAACCAGTCTACGGATAGAATCCCGGTAGCAACGGCAGGTGTCAGCGTGACGTCACGTAGAGAGTTCAGCTTTTATTCTGAAGGAACCGTCGTCTTGTTGATAAAACGACAGAATATTTCCAGCTTGACAGTTCTCAGCTTAAAGTAGAAAATACAGCTGGCCAGTCTGCACTTCACTTAGCAATGATGGATTTGAGAGCTGGTCGAGCTCACGTTGGAACTCCGTTGAAACTTGCGGTGGAACTCGATGGAACTGAATAAAACTGGCGTTGTTCTGTTTTATTAAACCCAGTTGTTTATAATTCTTAGCAAATCAGAGTGAACAGATTAAGTAAACACCTCAGAACTCTGCCAGCAACAGAAAGGACGTTTTGAATGGAGGAAGCAATGTGTTTACCTTATGTGGATCAGGATGTCTAGCTCAGTTAGTCCTGTGATTCATTAAACACATAAATCATAACATTGTGATTTCACAGATCGGTCACCTGATTATTATTGACCAACATTTGTTTTGATTAGCTTTATTAAAAAATAAAGTTCTTTGATTAACTAATGAAAAGCGTTCTTCGTCCTTCTTCTGTCTTCTTTGCTAGAATGTAAACATCAGAAGCAGGCACACGACCTTGGCAACTTATGCACACTGTCACTGTGTCAAAGGGCAGCTGTTAAAGGCAGAAAATAGCATTTTCATAACGCTACACTTAACTGATAAAAATCTTTTCTACTGTTGTTATGAGACACTTGACTTACAAACCCTAACCCATGTTGTCATTGTTTAGCTTTTCCTTTCTTATTGTTTCCACCCATCTTTGGTTTTCTCACCTGTTCTTATGATTGCAAATAAGTAAACGTGTCTTGTTTTATAGCTAAATCTTCTCCTGCATGTACAGGGAGCCTAATGGGTCCCCGGAAGAACAAAAAAAAAAACAAAAAAAAAAACGAATGCAAGTCAACGTGGCTAAACGAGCTACTTTCTAATCCACCTTGCTTTAGGGCCTGGATCGCACATACACTCAACAAAAATAGAAACGCAACACTTTTGTTTCTGCTCCGATTTTTCATGAGATGGACTTAAAGATCTAAAATTCATTCCAGATACACAATATTACCATTTCTCTCAAACAGGGCCAGATTAACACTTTGTTGTACCCTGGGCAACAATATTCAAGGGCCCCATCATCACGACCCAAGGATCACCATAATGTGGTCACATACAGAATATATTACTGTAATATGCAGTAAATATACTCAATACTTGAATGCCTGACATCACGTAACCCGCTCAGGGTAACCTTTGACCCACCTTGTGTAGACTGACCAATGAGGAGAGGGTCTTTACTTGAGGCCCTCTCTTCATTGGTCAGTCTACAAGAGACTGACTCTCAACTGACGTTCAGAGTCATAGGCAGCGAAGCGTCTCTGTGCAGCGCAAAAGCCCGGGTGGACAGTTTGTTTAATACAGGGTGACCATATTTCCATTTCCAAACAAGAGGACAGGGGATCTGTGCCTATGACATCACACTATGGCAACGCCACACACACCATGTTGGGATCCATTTTTTTGAAAGAACTAAATTAATATCAGATTCTGCCAATAAAAGGGCTCTAAAACAATTCATATGTAAATATTTAGCATTTTTAATTTTTAATAATAACAAGGTTTTATTAATAATAAATTATTATACCTTTTGTTTTACTACAGCATTGGTAAGCTTCCTGTGAACAGATTATTAAGGATGTTTGTTTCAGCTGTGAGATTAGACGATGGGATCAATGAAAAAATAAGTTGTCACACACTCCATGGAAACTTTCAGAGAATCCACAGATAGTGGCTTTCAAATGGTTTTGTTACTTTTTGCAAGTTTAGAAAAGCAGCAGATGAGACAGCATGTCTGATAATTTAGTTCTTCATCTGATAATATTAGAACATGTCAGCGATGTCTGAGGGGCTTTTATAAACACTGTATAACTAATACCCCTGGACAGGGTATGAATTACACAGAGGCTTCTGGGGAGCCCAGTTATGGGGGGAGGGGCATTTTGCCTTGGCCCCCAAAATGTCTTGAAACAGCCCTGGCTGTTGTAGGTTATCTGAACTGTATCAGATGTATAATTATTACACGTGTATAACTTATTGCTTTATACAGGTAAAAACGTGTAGTGGAGATACATCTACCCACATTTTACTTTTTGTTATGTTTTCTTGTTTTTATTTAACTATTTTCCTGTCCTGTCTGTCTCTCATCTTCCTGCATCTCCTCTAAACTCTCCAGAAAAACTGCTGCCTGGGTTCTTACTTTTTCACCTCATCAGTTACTTTTGAGCAGATCAAAGGGATCTCCTGACCGCAAAGCGGAGAGCGTGTTTCGATGCTGCGTCAGTGAGGTGACATCACCGCAGCACAGGTGATGAGCTCCGCAGTAGCAGAGCGCTTCAGGCACAAATAAGACAGAAAATAGAGAACATGTGCGGACATGAACGATTGTGTGCTAATTATAGTTTTTTGGTTGCGGCACTTTTTGAATGGACCGTGTGCTGGAAGCAGCTGCCTGGAGCGCTGCGCAACAACGCGCTGTGCCGCTCTCTGTGCTCTCTGCTCAAGAGTCCATAAATGATGTAATATAGGTAGAAAACTTTTTTCCAGCTTCCCTGGATGTGTAGGATATACAGCTCCCCCATAATTCGATCCCTGCTCCTGCAAAACCCGGACATTTTCATCAATACAAGAACCCCCAGCCTGGACGCCCCGGACAGAGAGTGAAAAGTG